CTTCAACAGCAAAACCTGTCTTCCCCAGCTAAACCAATCTTCCTTCCTTAGACTTAAACAACAATGCCATAGGACTTTGAGGTTGCTTGCTTATGCAACGTAAATCCTCACCTTATCTTTAGGCCTTTGCATAGCTCTGCTATACAATATAAGCCCTGACTCGTCTCAGGATTCCGAGGTTGTTGTTTGTCACGACCAAATCCTCACATCTTCCAGGCTATTTTTTTGATCGTTTCACATGAATGTAAGCCCTAACTAATAAAATTGACTGGAAGAAACACTTAAATTTTTCTCCTCTAAATTTAAGCCAAACATTAGGATAGCTTGGGAAGTCACCGGGGTTCTCCTCTGGATTCATGACATCCCCTAGTTCTTACTCTTTTGAATTCTACAATAAAATGTTCCAAATTTGAACCAATCCTATTTCACACCTCTACGTCCGATCTCATTGAAAAGTCCTACCCTTTGAAACTCCTTGAAGATAATATTTCTTGATTTTTATCGAGAGTCTTCTTAGGTGACTTTTGTCATTTAAGATGTAATTAACTATAATGGCTTGCTCTTACAAGAAGCATGTCTGAACTCAGCTTAATATAAGCCCTATTTAATCATTTATATTAAATAGGGGAACTTGTCGGCAAATACACAGGAAAGGTTTCGCAGACCAGACGGACGTCATACTTTTCTTAGTTTATTTGATCGATCCTCATCCTCAAGTCTTGTGTTTATCCTTCGGGATAGATACAGGATTTGAGGTACAGCGCTCTTTCATTTAAACTATGAAAAATATGGAGCCAGCTTGATTTCATACTTTTCTAAACTTTAACTTCCTTCCGAAGCGGGCGACGGGATTTCGATTCCGGTGACCAACAGCTTCTTACGGGCAACTCCTCTAACCAAAAATAACGCCGACAGGTTAGTACATTGAAGCTCTCCTTAATTTTTCTCTTGTTTGTTCACCTTTGTCGTATGTTTTTTTTTCGGTTCCTCCCTTCTCCTGATTATTCATATGATCCAGAAAAAGATTTATTTGAAAAAGAGAAGTATACAATGATAGACAGACTGGTGACCCCTTCAAAAATAAAAAGGAGAGAAAGAATGCAAATAGTGTTTTATCCAAATACCTAACTTTGTGTGAGTTAGAGTGGCAAAGGGTGTGCTCATACTATTTTGATGGGGCTACCAGGCATGTCAAAATCTTCTGGATCAAAATGTGCCAGAATTTATCACTTTATCACATTGACACATTTAATTTTTAAATTAGGTTCTTAAAATATAGATTTATATCAAATCATATGAAACAAAAAAAATTAAAATTTTAAAGAGATTTCACCTTATTTATGGTCTAACAAATTCATGAAATTTAATTAAAAATATGTTTCATTAAAATATAATTAAAATATCATAAAATTTAAGAAAAAATAATTTATTTTAATTATATTTTAAGTAATCTGTATGACATGTGTTTGGTTATTTGGATTAGAAGCACAATCATATGACTATTAGATTATAATGTATTAATTTGAGTTGTTCAATGAATTATCCTCTTAAAAAATGTTCATTAATGCATTAAAACCTTGGGTTATTCTCTCATCTAAAGGATTTTGGTCATTTGAGTAACACATCTAAATGATATGCATGGGCGTCCCAAAAGTGTAATAATGAACGCAGAGAAATGACGAAATTATTAAACATATACATAAGAAAATTTAACATAAATCATATAATGCACATAATAAATGAAATAGTTTTTATAAGAAAATAATATTTAAAAAAAAAAAACTCTAACAAGTCATAATAAAATTCATGTTATGTGGTATGAGACAAAAAAA